TCTGCAGCGGCCAGGGCTAAGGTTAGCCCGTCTGCAGCGGCCAGGGCTAACGTTAACCCGTCTGCAGCGGCCAGGGCTAACGTTAGCCTGTCTGCAGCGGCCAGGGCTAAGGTTAACCCGTCTGCAGCGGCCAGGGCTAACGTTAGCCCGTCTGCCTCAACCAGGGCTAACGTTAGCCCATCTGCAGCGGTCAGGGCTAAGGTTAACCCGTCTGCAGCGGCCAGTGCTAACATTAGCCCGTCTGCAGCAGCCAAGTACATGGGGCGTCACTTTGTTGCCAAAGCAACAGCTGCTCTCTCTGTCCTTTAAAAGGTGGACGTCATCCCATTCAGGTTTGACCTCCTCCACCTTTTAATCATGGCGCCTCCAGCTGGGCGTGGTCTATATTAGGACACTAACCCCTAGTGTCCCTAGTGGTTAGGGAGCAGTTTGGGATTCAGCCTCAACCTGGAACCTTCTGACCTAACTCTCACCTCCTCTTTCCTCTGAGGCTCCACCTCCCTCTGCATCATTGGTTCGTTCTTTGGGTCCCGCCCCCAGCAGACCGCTGGACCAATCAGAAGAGCTGTAGCTGAGAATCCTAGGTCAAGCCCCGCCCCCTCCTTGTTGGTCATGGTCCTTGTGTTCCTCCAGGCCACGCCCCCCTTAGCCATCACTTGAATCACCACGGAGACACAGTCCTGGGAGGCCCCGTCCTCAGGGACCGTTGTCATGGTTACATCTGCACCATCCTCCTTTGCTGCTGTCGCCTGTGTGACATCACATCCTGACTCCTGCCTCTTCCTCCTCAGGTGTGTAACCATGGAGACAGAGGGGCTGAGGATGAGGAGGTGGTCCAGAGAGAACTGCAGGTAAACCCTGTGAGACAGAAACAGGTAGAGTTAATAAGCCCCGCCCCCTCAACCTGCTAGATGATCTAATCAGCCGAGGCCTGAACCAGGAAGCAGGATTACTGGGTTAGCCAGATAACTTCAGGTTTAACCACCAAGCTGGACTCCTTCTCAGAGAGGCTGGTCACCATGGTAACGTAGTCTGCACAGCTAACCTGCTTCAGTGCAGGCTAGCATTCAGGACGGATCTGAATCCACCCAGCAGCCATTCAGCTCTTCTTTGATTGGAGAACTGATTTAATTCAGAGGAAACCGAAAATAAACTAAACAATAAGGAACCTGGAAAACCAAAAAGCAGGTAAAACTAAAAAACAGCCAGAAGGAGGCTGTAATGTTGGAGTGAAACGGATCATTGACCCTCAGAGTCTGAATGAGACTGAAACACAAATATTATGCTGTGTCCTTTCAGTAGGAAACACAGGGAGGAATAACTCTGTCCTTTCAGGTCAGCATTTAAAGTCTGTTACTAAATCAGAGCACATCTTAACCATTCATCCCTCGGGAATCAGGATGACTTCCCTCAGAATGATCACTTCCTGTATTGATATGATAACTGCTCACTTCCTGTGTCAATATGATGTCCGATCACTTCCTGTATTAATATGACTGATCACTTCCTGTATCGATATGATGACTGATAATTTCCTGTATTAACATGATTTTTGATCACTATCTGTATTAACATGATTTCTGAGCACTTCCTGTATCTATATGACTTATCACTTCCTGTATATGATGACTTATCACCTCCTGCATTAAAGGAAAATTCCGGTTTTCAACACTTTTAGCCCATTTTCTGTAGTGTCCAGGATGAAATCGAATGATCGACACCAAAAT